CTGGATAAACTCTTCCCAGGTGCCTGGCAGGGGTGGGTCTGCCCCACAGGAACCCCTGAGGGGTCAGTGCACACGTGGAAAAGACATGGAATACTCACAGTTTCCCGAGCTGCTTCCCTCTGCACTCCCCACTGACCACCACGTCCTCTATCCTTCCTCTCTGTGAAAACACAGCCAAGGGTTAGGCTTGGAATTCCCTTTCCAGCTCCCTGCAGGAGCTGTAATCCCAGTGCTGCCTCTCCCTGCTGAGGGATATGCCTCTGCCTCTCCAGCTCCCTGTTTTCAGTCTGGCTGGGACTCCCAGCAGAGAGATCCTGATCCTCTGCCATCTGCTCTATCAGATCTATGTCTGACTTGTTCAGCAGCTCACTGGGACCATTGGACAGAAATCCAATTGCTTTTTTGCCTTAGAAAAAGCCAAAGCTTCCTTTCAGCATGAGCTGAGCACCCAAGCACAGAAAATACTTCATATTTTGAAATATTTAAATGTTTGAAGGTTGGAGAAACCTCTAAGACCATCAAGTCCAACCATTCCCCAGCACTGCCAAGGCCACCACTAACCACATTCCCAAGTGCCACATCCCCAAGGCTTTTAAACTCCCTGCAGGGATGGTAACTCCATCTCTGCTCTGGGCAGCTGTGCCAGGGCTGGACAGCCCTTTCCATGAAGAAACTTTCCCTAATATCCAATCTAAACCTCTCCTGGCACAACATGAGGTTGTCCCTACACTGTAACACCATTCAAAGGACATTCCCAGAGTCAGGAACAGGATTTTTTTCCTCCACATTCACAGCTGCAGTGAGAGAATTTACCTTAGCACAGGAGTGGGTGAATTTATGCTCTATAACCAGCGTTGCTGTGGCAACGATCTGTCCGAGGTTTGTGTCTTCCACCACAGTGACATAGTAATCTCCAGATCTCTTCATGTGCTCAAAGGTCTCTGTGGGAGCAGGGAGGAAGACAGGCACTTCAGTCCCACACTACACTGCTCTGGAGTCTGACATTTCCAGCAGATCTGAATCCAGATCACTGCATGGATCACAAGGAAGATGTACCCAAGAACTCAAGACCTGCAAGCCCTGGAGTCAGACTAGCCCAGGAAAAAGGTGAAATTAAACTCTTTTTCCTTAGGTGCCCAGAAATTCTTCCTTCCCCAGAGTCACTGCAGATGGGCACTGAGACACAGAATCCCAGAATGGTTTGGGATGGAAGGATCTCAAAGTCCACCCAGTTCCACATCCCTGCCATGGGCAGGGACACCTTCCACTAGCTCAGGCTCACAGGGAAGAACTTCTTCACTGAAAGAGCTTGGCTTAGATCCTATGATTCCCCATATCCCTGAGGCTCAAAGAGAGCTGCAAAGGGACTTTGGACAAGGGCCTGGAGGGACAGGACACAGGGAATGGTTTCCCACTGCCAGAGGACAGGGACAGATGGGATATTGGGAAGGAATAAGCACCTATGAGGGTGCTGAGGCACTGGCACTGGCTCTGGGAGTAGCTGTGGCTGCTTCGTCTCTGGGAGTGTTCCAGGCCAGGTTGGATGGGGCTTGGAGCAACCCAGAGAATCCTCCTACCTCCTGCCAGGTACCTAAAGCTCAGTTTCAAAGCAGGATCACAGTTCAGGCCTGCCCCAGCCAAATATCCCTTAGGGACAGCTGCAACAGGATCTAACACTGAGTGCCAACGGCAGGGGAGCTGAGCTAATCCCTCCCTCTGGCATGAGAGGATACTGTCAGCATCAGTATCCTCTGGCTCCCAACAGCCTCTCTGAAAATGCCAGGAAATGATGATATACTCACTGATGAACTGCTCCAGGCTCGGAACTCCTGTCTCCGTCAGCTGTCCCAGAACCTTATAGAAACCTTTGGAAAAGAGGGGAGGAACAACCAACCCTCAGTGAGGTCAAGTCCAAACAGCATGGAACAACCCGACACGGTTGTCTGGAGAGGTAACATCCCTATGGCACCATCCCATCAAGTTCCTGACTCAAGGAATGCTGATGGATCAGCACGGAGCAAACTGCAGCTTGAATGTGGAAGTTGCAAGAAAAGGATAAACCTGAAATTACAGGATATTATAGTCCAAAACAACATTTTAATCCAAATTACAGGAGTGAAGGGGAATTCACACACCAGGATGCTGGGTCATGCTGCTTTGGTATCAAAGGGCACAAACAGCTGCACTCTCTGTTCAAAGCTGTGGGGAATAGGAAGCTGTGGATTATTTGGAAGATTCGATTTGAATTTGAAGATTAAAACAGTGAAGCAAGTTTTCAGGGTCAGCCAATACAGCACCAAGTGCTCACATTCAGGGAAGGGACAGCTCCAAGGCTGACAGAGCTCAGGGTGTGGCCAATGCTCTCAGGCAGAGTGTTGGGTTGTCAGGGGGCAGGGCAGGGGTTGGACTAACGATCCTTGTGGATCTCTCCCAACTCACGATGTTCTATGATTCCATGAAAAATAACCCATATCATGTAAAATGAGCAATCCCAGTCTATCAAGAACTCATGCAGAAACACACACAATTGATCAGCTTTCATTTCTGGCCATGGCAAAACAAGATTCTACCTCGATTTAAATCTGCTGTGCAAAGTGGCCTCAGAACCAGCCCATCCCCTGGATCCAGTGGAGAAATGGCAGGAGAAAATGTTGTTGTGTTCTCACTCCAGTCAAGTTCATGCAGAATGCTGGGGTCAAACATGGGGGTGTCATCAGGCATCACAGTTGCAACAGGCATCATGGCTGCAGCAGGTGACCTGGGACAGAAGGACATGGCAGAGGAGGAGTTTGGTTTGTTTCAATCTCAGAATAAGCTGTTTGCCCTGGCTGTGGATGTTCCTCAGGGATGGAAAGAGGTGAATCAAGTGCTGTTCAGTTTATTTGCAAGTGAAGCTCCTCAACCTTCACCCAAGGAGGGTAAACAGGAGTGTGTGCACACGGACACTACACACGTCATCCCGAGTCAGCACACGGAGCTTTGTGTTTGCCTCAGAAAAACAAACAGATAAGACACTGAGTAGGATATTTACCCTCCACAGCCCTCTGGAAAGGAAAGCATCACTCCCAGGAATCCTCACAGGTTGTACTTGATCCCAGAGGTCTTTCCCAGCCTTAATGGGATTAATGTCATTCCTGTTCTGTTTAAAACCGGCACCAGGAACAACACACATTTTTCCACCAGCCTCATCCATGTTTAATCTCCCAGGCACAAGGCACCACACATTTGGGAATGCTGATGCCACAGCCTGCACACATGGATACAGCCCACACTGCCTGTCCCAGGCAGCTGTTTGCTCTGTGTGTGTGCAGAGCTCAGTGCCCCAGAAAACACCACTGCCAAGGGGACAGGGGACTCCTGTTAATGATTAAAGGGGTTGGTGAATTCTGCATTATCCTGAATAAGACGAAGCAAAGAGAAGCAGTTTCCTTATGGGGAACTGTGTATTATTCAGAATAAAAGAAAGCAAAGAGATATAGTTTCCTTGTTGCAGCAAAGAGATATAGTTTCCTTGTTGCAACCCAGGCCAGGTTGGATGGGGCTTAGAGCAACCTGGGCTGGTGCAAGGTGTCCCTGCCCATGGCAGGGGGTGGAATGGGATGAGTTTTAAGGTCCTTCCAACTGAAACCAGTCTGGGATTCTGTGATATAGGAAAATAATTCTTGGTTTTTTAAATTAAAGCCCTCTCACAGCCCTGTTAGGGGTCACAGAGGGTGTTACCTATGCAGCATCACAGAGTAGCTGCAGCACAGGAGCCTCAAAAGTGAAAGCAGATCTGGAAACCCAACTGGAAAAGCTTCTTTGGAAAGAAAATCCAACACAAAACCAAATTTAATGCCACCTGCTGGTGCACAGCCTTCAAATCCCTGTCCTCACCTCAGACCTGCTTATAAAAGTGCAAAAAAATCACCGTTACAGCAATTAAACAGCAACAAAACTTCTCATCCCACGTGAATGTTCAAAAGAAAACAGTGGTAAAGAGGGAGAGCAAAGGAAAACATTTCCATGGATATCTCTGTTCCTAGAGCTCCAACACTGATGCTCCTCTGTCCGCTTAAAAAGCCTTCCTGGAATTCCTGGGTGTCCACAGCAACACAGGACAAACTCCACGGATTCCAGCTCAGCTTGCAGCACACCAAGCTCACACAGCAGTGGAAAAGCACATGAAGGAGGTAAAACTTCCAGTGCTCTTTCAGCAACTAGTGGCAAACTATGAGGTATTTTCCACACTACATCCAGCACCGCTGGAGCAGGATGGTGTTGGAAGCTTCCCATGTTTTCTTGAGACAGGAATATGACTTAGATTATTGCACTGGCCCGTTAAAAAGGGAAGAATAAGGACTAGTGCACAGAGAGGAAGATGATCTCTGGACTGTGGGTCACTCTGGTGCACACCTGAAGTCTCCCTGGAGCATCCTGGGTTTCCACGTGTGCTGGGAGCAGGGGACAATAGGGATGTGCCAACACACATGGGACATGTTCAGCCCCTCTGGCCAGTCAGAGCTTCCAGGAATGGAAGGGTGGGACCCCAACACACAACCAACCCCACTGGGGGTTCACTCACCTCACACACATGCAGTTGGGGGATCCCTCACCACCTCACTGCAGTCTTTTGGGGAAGTCTCATGACTCCTCACCTCATACACAGCCCCTTGAGAGGGGATCCCATACCCTTCACCCCTCACACAGCCCCTCAGGGGGGTCTCCGCACACAGCCCCTTGAAAGGAGTCCCCTCAGCCCTCATATAACCCCTTGTGGGGGGGTCCC